TGGATTATACAGAGGTCATAACTTTCACGAGATTTCTAGATATGTTACATTATCATTATATAATGACACTCTTTCTCTCGCAAACAAACATCTCCATTAAAATATTTAAAATACAACTTACAACTTTGTTTCAATCCTGGATTATAAAGTCCCTTGAACAATCCTAATACACAAATAAAACAGTACAGTAAACTGTCCATTCATCGAGGGTTATCGTATACCCTCGGGATGTTCTTTTCTCCTTTATCCTTACTTTCTATTGTGTCACTGGGAAAGTTCTCTCTTTGAGGGGATTGAGCGATCCACTGGTAGTTCTATCCTTTACGATCCTCTGGAAGTGATATCGACAAGCGAGATAAAAGAAAGTATTCGTATAAACTTAGCTAAAACAACTCATTAGTCAAGTTAAATTCAATAATTTACAATATTGTCTCGCAGCAAATAAACGCCAATTCCTTTTACTGATGCATCATTAACCTTGATTTTACGATTTACCTAATAGTTTTTTTTAACAGTCTATAGTTTTCAGTTTTCTTTTCTCACAAAAGTGTTTAGTACTTTACATTTTACGATTAATTTATACCAGTCTCTTTGCTTTTGTTATTTGATTCATAACTGACAATGTTTTAAACAAAAAGTTACCATGTTTGCATTTCAATTTTTATTTTAATTATCTATCACTTATCTTATTAATTAATTTGCCAGTACTAACTGCTAATTTCTTCCGTTTTTAGTTGTATTGTTAAACACGTTCTCGTACTTCACGTTCCCGTGTCAAGGTTATGAAAAACATGGTTTTCTTTAAGATCAGAACCAAGCATTCAGTAAATTAGCCGTTGTCATCAATTTCCATGATGATGATGGTAAACTGTACAATCCTCGAAACTTTAGTTAATAAAAAAGTTACTTCCACTGTTGGTGTCAATATGAATAATTATGATAAATTAAGTATTACTATAACCCTGCTTGACAATGGGTGTTAATATTTGATAAAGAAAAGAACATTAAAAATAAGCAGGAAGAACATTACGGCAACATAGCTATATTTCCCTATAAAAACTTAGAGAGAATACGTAAACACCAAAAAATCAGATCAGTATTCAAAAGTAACAACATAATAAGATCACAGTTTGTACATACCAAACTACCAAAGATCCAATAAAGAGCAAAAACACAATTTACAACATCCTTTTTAAATGTGGACTAAAATACAATAGAGAAATAGAAAGCCCAACAAAGGTCGGAATTTAGGAATACAATATACATATACTGAGTGGTCACAAGTAAATAGACACCTAATTTTTCGTCATTTAACTGATTTATGCTAACTAATTTGAGTTCAAGCACTATATAAATGAAAATGGTCCTCACACTAATTAGCTAGTGCTACAACATGCCTAAAATTCAAGGTTCTCTCGAATTGTCAGATTTTGTTAGAGCTAGGATAGTTGGTCAAGCAGATGGTGGAATAAGTCAGCGGCAAATTTCGCAGAATTTGGGAATCCCGCTTTCGACAGTCAACAGAATCATCGTGCAGTTCAGGAAACACGGCAAGGAAACAACTGAGCAGCGTCAAGGGTTGTCAAGAGGAGCATCGAAATTGATCCCAGATTAACGACTGTGAAAGTTTCCAAAGTTGGTGGAATGAGCCCGAAGTCTGTTCAACGGATTCTCCACAGATTGGGTTATCGTTGCAGATCAGTTTGACGGAAGCCCTTATTAAGACCTGCCAACATAGTCAGACGAAAGAAGTGGGCAAGGGATATGATGACCAAGCCTCTGGACTTTTGGAAGACCGTATTGTTCTCAGACGAATCGTGATTCGCTCAATTTTCGGACAGTGGAAGGATATGGGTCTGGAGAATGCCTCACCAAGAGTTTTGGCTTAAGAGATTGCAGGCAACTGTGAAGCATGGTGGTTTGGGGAGCTGTTTGGGTTGGTGGGAGATCGAGCTTAGTGAAGTGCGTTGGCTACATAAATTTTGCGAAATACGTCGAAATATTGGAACAAGGACTCTTGCCACTTTATTCCACGGGTTTCGTGGACAAGAACACAACGTTGTTCCAGGAAGATGGAGCACCGTGTCACACTGCTAGAAACACCCAAAAGTGGCAGGAAGAAAATGGTATCCAGAAGTTGCCTTGGCCGA